TGCTTAAAACAAATTTATTTTGTAGGATGTTCTCCTCGTTTGAACGTTATCTCCCATGGAAACAGATGATTCCATACGGTCCTTCAACAAAGACGAACCAGCAAAAGAGGTTAAAGGAAATTGGTACATGTACAACTGTACAATGTATTTACCGTTGTTACCCAGTTTAATTTTAAAGTAGGGCATAAATTATTGAATGAGGTAGAGTACGATGCGAAAGATTGTGCAAATTGAATAGAATGATGCCCACCTCAGATCACCATAATTCTGCACATCACATAAAAACCAAATAACAATTATTGTGTTGTTTTTCATTGTAAACATTTCTATATTTGTAAACTTTTAAAAAAAACTTTGGCCTATTCCCAGCACAGTTCCAGGATATCTGAAGGCGTTTTTTCTTGCATATACTTCACAAAACGTAGATAATATTCATCAAAAAACATGATTTCCAGTCTTAGTCAGATAATTTAGCTATTTCATCTTGGTATAGGTGTAAACACACATATTTCGTTCACTCAATATTGCCCAAGCAGCCTTGTCGCTAGGCAAATATACCATGTACTAACCCTGCTTCTAAAACCATATATCATGGGATCAAGGGTATATTGCTTGCATCCTCCAAATATGAAAAGTACCTGTTGGTTATAAATTAGCTGGGGGCTTGAGCCAATTGAAAATGGTTACGTATTTTGAATGAACAACAATAATTGACATATTTATTTATTTATCTTCGAAAGTTCGCCTCGTGCCCATCCTCTTTATCTCTATACTATAACTTAAGCTTAATTCTGACTTTGTCTTTTTGAAGATCTGGAAATAAAAGCCACTGGAAATAAAATGACCTTTAGGGTAAACCTGAAGCTATTTAAAATTTGTCTGCTGCGCATTTAATGATTTTGCAGGACATTCTTCTCGTTCTTCTTTTATATATTCTGTAAAAAAGGACACAAGGACATTGCCAAACAGTCCATCAGTGAAGACCAGTCAGCAGAAGAGACTGAAAAAATAGGTTAAACTTTGCAATGTATTCATTTATATCACTGTTTTTACACTGAGGCTAAATCCAACAAATATAATAATAATTTCTTATCCAATCTTTCAGCTGATTATTGTATACCTGGGAATGTAATTCTTACTTTAATTAAATAAATAGTTATATTTGCTTATTTGAAAAATTCCAACTATTTCATTATTGCTACACAGCAATTTTAAACTAGGCAACCTTAACAGCATATTATAGTCTTGTTATAAATTAAATCTGCCAGTATTTCATTTTTTGATCCCAGTGAGTTTTATATTGGGACAGGCAGAAAAAGAGGGGAAGGGTGGGCTTAAAGGGGGTGTGGTGCATATTATTTAATTTATTGCAGGCACAAAGTATTAATACAATAAGATAGCATTTATAGATCTACAAAGTAATAATATTTTCTTAATAGGGTCTTACATTTGCACTAAAATTCATGGTGTCCATCCTTAATCAGGTAAAAACCTATCATTATAAAGCAATCATGTTATAATTTCACTCTTTAGGTTGAAATATTTTTTATTTTATACAAATGGTTTCGATTTTCTAATCATGAGCCACATTTGTATGTACCCGTTAACACGGTTAATTTTCTACCTGGTTCAAATATTTTTTGTTTTTAATTTATTAAATTTCAGGTATTTTAATGAGAAACTTACTGGGAAAAAAAGAATAAAGGAACCAAACACTGGTGGCATGGCACAAGAAGAGAAGCCTGCAGGGAGAGAGAGAGAAGGGAAGAAAAGAAGAACTGCTGCCCAAGTTCATGATTTTTTCAGTTCAAAGATGCAATGCCAAATAAAGTATTTTTTAAGTGTTTTACATTGTGATATCTGTTTTTCCTAAACTGGGGTTTGTTTGTCAACAATAGCTCCATAGGCACACAACAGTTCAATAACCATACCAGTAGGGTTTACACAGTATCTTTTACATCTTCAATGCAAAAACACCGAAAATCGAGTTTTTTCCTTTATCTAACATAAACTTAAGCTTAATTCACTATATACAAATTTAGAGACACCCATCTGGGCCCTTACTATCTGTATTTCGTGAAAAATGTAAGAAAGACGTGCTGTTTTTCTGCTGGAAACGTCACTTATGTAAAAAAAGAAGTGAATAAAAACCCGCAACACCTACTTTTTGTGTTTATTTATTAATTCGTTTTTTCTGGAGAGACACTTTTGATGCGTCGTTTTAAAACAAGTGCTTGAAGATGCCCAGAAATGCCGTAACGAAGCATATGTTGACAATATACACGTTTGCCTTGTTTTCTGTTTCGACGATAGTCCGTAACCTCAGCTCCTCCATCTGCAGAGATTCATTGGCACAAATTCAAGAAAGAAGTTCATCGTCTGGTACCTGTTGCTACGCGTGAAAGTCCACTTAAGTTGAACAAAACTTGGTCTCGCGGATCCTTTTTTAAGAAACCGAAACTCTGTTTTTCGCTGTGGCATGTACATAGAAACTCTTCCTGTTCAAATGACGGATTTTCAGCTACTTTGGGCTGAAGTTGCAGTAACCTGACAAAAAGGCCGCCATATTTGATCTGGCAGTATCGGCTAGGCGTTCTCGGCGTGTATCTCTCGGTGACGTCACAGCTCACGGTAGAGTCCAGGATTGACCGAGCCGAGAGTGCCTAGGGACTAGGCTGTGTCGAACCTACTTTTGTTGCTGTCCTTTAGCACGCGCAAACACATTTCCATGGCCTTTCGTACCAATTCTTTCAAATTTCTTTGAAAAAAAGAGAACTCAAAACCACCCACAATGCCTTTCAGGATTGTCGCTTGCACTTTTCCTGACAACCTTTCTCGAAATAGCTGTATACAATGACCATAAAGGAACAAGACCAATACACATACCTGCCTTGTACCGCTTGACTGTTCTAGGATTTGTGTTACTTTAGATATTTTTTGTCACAAACGCTACTTTTCGTCTCTGCTTCTTCTTTTTTCCTTTATCTTACTTGTAAAAAGTTTCTCGAAAAGTTTTTCAACGTCTTCACTTGCTCAAAACAGAATAATCGCAAAAACATCTTGCATATCAGCGAGTCTCTCGAAGCGATGACACACTATCAGCACTCGTGAAGATTTCTGTCAGTTAATTTATTATATAGGCATTCTCAAGTTGTCAAGTACTCTTTTCGCCTCTGTTTCTCCATTTTTTCTCACTGTAAATAACTCATTCTAAACTTTTTTCGAGGCTTTCACTTGCTCAATCCGAAATAATCTCACAAACATTTTCAAAACCGCGCACCATGTTGAGCAAAACAAAGCACAAGTTTCCCGTGACGTCATCCATGTATCTGTACTCTAATAGAACATGGGTAACGACCAATCACAGCGCGCGCACAGTCACATCCCTGTCTAAACTATTTTATTAAAAACTGAACCACTGGCCATTGATAAACCAATCCTAGAGCTCTGATTGGCCTAGCTAGCTATCATGGTATATCAGCCATTATACCATGCTCTCTAAATATGGTAACTGTACACGTCTACTTAAAATTAAAAACAAGCTGAAAATCGGTTGCTTTTACAAATAAAGTCGGGAAGAATTCTACTGAATAAATAATAAAATTTTACTGAATAAAACAGTTATTCCACTCGCGCTTGTTGGATATGGGATAATTGTAGGCAACTCGGCGCTACGCGCCTCTTCGGCTCCCTACCATCTACTCATATATAAATCCAACGTGCACTCGTGGGATAATGGTTAAATCGACCATAGAACTGACGTCAAAATTTTCAAAGCCCTGCAGTGCAGTGAAACCCCTCACCTGCGGCTTGTGGTTTCACTTGAGTTTTGAACATTTTGGTGTTATTTCTATGATCGATACGATTACAGACCATGACAAATTGTTGTAGATTTGCATGGGCACAAGGGAGGTGCTCGCTCTCGCTGGGTTATAGGCTCCAGCTCCTGCTCAGTTCATTGGTTTGAAAAACGAACGAGCAACTCCGTTTTGCCCATGCAACGGCGTTTTCGCAGACCATTTTATTTTTTAATCGATTTTCTAGTGAATTTTGAATATCAAATAAGTTTTACAGAACAGTCATTAATCATCCGGTGCTTCCATGATACATTTATACATTGATCATAAAAATGGTATGTTTTTGGTTTCTTTTCTTCAAGGTTAATGTGGTTTCCTTCAACACAGAGGCCTTAACAGATAGTGGTTCTGAAGTCACGTCTTGTTTTAGTGAGCGGTTAGCTCTAGCAGTTCCTGAGAATAAAAAAAGCTTAGAGAAATACATTGATGGACCCAGGTTTATTGCTCAACGTAAGTCTGTTGTAATAGTAATGAGCTTTTATTTTCAGTATCGTGTTATACCCCAGCAAGCTCACTAGCCTGCTAGCAGTCGAAGGGAGGGGGGGGGGGGGGGCGGGGGGGGGGGGGGGGAAGGGAAGGAAACCGTTTCCTTTTTTTTCCGGCGCCTGCCCCCCCCCTTCCCTTTTTTGCATCTTTATGCCTCGCCGGCCTTTCGTCTTTCAACACCTAAACCTAAGGGGAACGGACACGGCTGCCACCCAGGCAAGAAGATAGAGAGAAAAAAATAAGGAGAGGGGAGTGGTGCGGTTCTCGGATTTTGTGCAGTTGTGGTTGGTTGAGGTTGTTAGTTGTTTCTTTTTTTGGAGTTGGTGTGCCCACCCGCGGGGCGGGGGGGGGGGGGGGGGGGGGGGGGGGGGGGGGGGGGGGGGGGGGGGGGGGGGGGGGGGCGGAGAACGGAAGGAAACCGTTTCCTTTTCTTTCCAGCGCCTGCCCCCCGCACTTCCTTTTTTGCATCTTTATGCCTCGCGCGACTTTCGTCCTTGCAACGCTAGACCTAAAGGGAACGGACACGACTGCCACGCAGGCTACAAGTTCTTGTGAGCGGCCATTTAACCTTTACATCTTTAGTGGCCACTTATGGAACCTTGATTCTCTTAAAAGGCGAGGGACCTGTTTCTCCAAAGGCCCGAGAACATTTTTTAAGCCGGAAGGCAAATTTTCAGATCAAAACATGTTGAATAGTAGCACAGTTCCTAGCTCACAAACCTGTCAATTTTGCTTGGTTAACTGATAGCTTCATTGGGTCATTTGCAAATTATTGAAGCTTGAATGCAAACACGGCCAACATAAACCAGCTCTCCGGGCCGGAAAAGTTTCCGAGCATATCGAGAAACGGGGCCCAAGCTCCAGTAACGTACATGTTTGTTGCGTCCGGAGGCTGTCCACTTACCAGACTTTTCATGGTAGTTCCTTACAAAATCATATGACCAGTCGTGGCATCAAGGTCCCGCTGCTGCAGTCCTAATAGGAACCATGATCATCAGCATACCTGCAGTCTGCCATACATACGAAAGAAATGTAGTCGTTAGTTTAGCGGTCGTTTCTTTGGAGAAAATGGAGACTGTCCACACACTCTCTAGTTTTCTCCAACCTCGTCTCCAATTCAGGTAATTCAGTAAGAAAATGGCCATATGAAAATAATTTATGCATTATACCGAAATCGAAATGGCGGAAAGTATGTCCACTCCAACGAAGATTTCTGCAAGAAATCCAGTTCGCAGGCTATGTGGCGGTTCTCATGAGGGTCGCTATATGCTTTGAATATTCACCAAGGCCGGTTCATCTAAAGATTTGTGTTTATAAAAGCTGTGGTATAAAAATTTCTGAGGACGACACGAGGTTAGCAGTGCTATGTAGGAGTTGCGTCACATTCGTAGACAAAATGGATCAGTTTATTCGGAGAGCTTAATCTCTAGACAATACGCCATCTTATATAAACTCAGAATATTCGATTCTGTAAAGCGCTGCGTTCAACTTTTACCGACTTTGCATCAGCCATCAAAGCGTCTACTTGTATTAAAGGATATGCCAACCGAAAGTTTCGATGTGGTTGTTAGGCCTTCACAACTTCTACATTTTCTCTGAGTAGATGTGATTTTAGCCGCTTGTTTCACACTGAGAGGTCATGGCACACATATCGATTAACTGTGGTTTTCGTTCCTAGTCGGCAATATTTACCCTCTGATGCAAGAGCCTTTACTTTGACCTCTTTTGAGGCGTAAAGCTTGTTACACGACTGAATAAGTGTTCCAATTTTCTCCAAAGTGCCTTCTGGATCTGAATAACAAGGCGATTTTCTTTAGTCCGTGAATGTAATGTTTTTCTGCAATGTTGTATCACACTGGGCCCAGCTCGTCAGTTTACTTTGCAGGATGTTAAATTATTATCGAGGACAGTGATTTTTACAGATCCAAAATTATCTGAATTATAAGAATGAAGTGAAGGCTTAAACTGAAGCTGCATCAACTATGGAGAATTGCATTGTGACTCAGTACACTCTGACAGCATAGTCTTTTTCTGAAGATAATATGAGCCTTTTGACTAGAGCGGGTATTCCCTTCCTTGATAATAGCTTTTGAATACTCAGTAGTTGCCGGGTAAGCTATGTGCTTAGTTGCTTTTACAAAAGCAACTTTAGTTGTTCTTTATCGTGACGAGAACGGTACAGCTGTGAAATAACATTCGAAACACTTTACTTGAAGTAGTTTAAAATTAAGCGATGGAAAGTTACCGTTACTCAGGGTCCTCAGGGAAAATCCGACCCGGCGAAGCACTGATAAGAACTCTGGTCTACACGCCATCTGGCATGTTTTGTTTATCGTATGCGATCGTATGCTAATTTAGTACACCCACAAATTCTGGGTGTTTGGTGGTCATGTGGCCGGCCGATGCCAGGGCCTTTTCCCGCCCCACCTCCAAAGCCCGGAAAAAGCGCCCTGGCCACGAGGTTGAGTTTTCCCATAACTTGGAAGGAAAGCGACAAAGCGAGCAAAATAAGCGCCAGCGAAAATCCCGACGGAGGGTTGGAATGACCCCCGGCTCATCCCATACTGTGGTGATACTCTCCTCCAGGTCGCATTTTTATCCTATACAATTACGAGAAATATTAATTGTTAAAGTAGTATTTTGCTAACTGGCTGAAGAGTTAAGTCTGTAGTATAGGGCATTTTTTTTACTAGTCATGCTGTATTTGAACGAGCTCGTTCGGCGATCGGAGCCAAAATACAAAAGATTAGTAAAACTATTTCAGCCACCATAGTGGTTAATTGTCCATAGGAGACCAATTATTCAACTTCGGTCACCTCAACACAAATCTGGGTATTTTTTTAAACGAATTTTTCAAATACCACTCGACCTTTCGCACACACCAAACGTGTGAAATCGCTCACCGAGGCTGCACCTTTTATCTTTTTGAAACCTCTCTCCAGAGTGCACGTGGTTTAGGACCCTGCTTGAATGTGATCGAGATGGTAACGGAACTTGCACTGGAATTTTATTGTACAATTTTCATGTCCTGTCCACACGAATTCGGGTAACATAATATGCGGTTTCAAAAATGTCTGGATTCGTGTGGACCGGGTCTTAGATTCAGTGCTATTTCATGATATATAGATTTAGACAGGGCTAAAAGCGCAGCTCTCGTTAATATAGTTGTAGTATAGTTTACTCAAAGAAAAACATAAAAATGTGTAATGCTAAACGGCAATGGCAACGAGAACGACAAACAAAAAAGATCAATAGATGTAAAGGTACCGTAAAACGAGCTACAAAAAACGGTATTGCTGCAAAACGAGTTAAATAACGATGTTGTGCGTTTTGCCACCCACGACCAAAAAACCTTGCAACCTTATTCGAACGTCAGTGGTAAAACACACAACATCGCAAGATTCAACTCGTTTTGCGGCAGTGTTGCAGACAAGTTGCACGTTTTTCGTTAACCGCTTTACTTGTTGGCTTCACACTAGAGCTTCAAGTATAGTGTAAGTGTATTTGGAAGCTACTTTGAGTGTGAAGGGGTAAAATGTACCCACTTTACTTGGTGACCATGGAAACTTTCGTATTTCAAAGAAGCCGAAGTTCTCCCTAAAGTCTGGTCTTCACCACACACGAGAACACACAATGTGCAAGACGTGCAGCGGTTCCAAGATTCTAATGAACGGAGAGATTACTTGGCTTCACATTAGAAGTTAAGTTAGTTTCAAGTGAGTACTTAATTCAATTGGTAGCCTTTACACTAGGCCGTCACGTAAGACGTGTTGGCTTCTAAGTTTTACTTAACCAAAGATACGTGTGTGAAGGCCTTAGTAAAATCTCATGTTATTTTACTTTGTATCTCATCAAAATTGGAAAGTTGAAACGATTCAAGAAAAGTTCAAGTGCCCTGAAAACCATCCTTAACACTGACCTAGCGAACTTGCGGTTTCTTAAGCTTTGAAAAAGGCGAAGCATGTCGATCAATCTTAATTATGTTGCTTGGCAAAATAGCCTTAAGTTAACCTGAAGTAAATTAAAAGAAACGGTTATGTGTGAAGCTTAATTTTACTTGAAGTATTTAAAATTTACTTGCATGTCTCGAAATAATTCTTAGCTTCTTTAGGCTCTTGTAAAGACCTGCCATTGACAGCTTTTACTTCAAGTAATATACTTTGTCAATAAGTGTGAAGCCATGTTTTTAGTGTGTAGGTGGTGGATGGAGTTACGGACAGTCAGGTGATTACCAAAATTTATCGCCTCGATAGGTTAACATTTTTTCTAGCCCATGGTGCTCTGCTGCGCGGCTTCGTGCGAGCGAGAGCGCTTCTATAACCAGGGGATGCGTAATTTAACCTTTCCCTTCTCGAAAGCTTGATGCAATGTTGTTGACAACTAGTTTGAAATAGACTGGTTCACTTAGTAAATCGAATTTTTGGGTGTTTTCCTCTGCGCTCAGAAATGTTTTTCTTTCGAACTTTTGCACGCAAGGGCAAATGGCAATGGAACAAGCAATTGATGATTGTGAGGCTTTTGATGGCCATTTGGCTTTTACGCATAAGCCCCCACTAAAGAAAATAAAACAACAAAAAAAAAAGGTAATAAGGGATCAACTAGTTTGGAAGAAGAGCAATTATCAAGAAAGAACTTATAATTTACATTCGCCTGAAAAAAATCATAACCCGTCATTAGAAACTACTACGTTGAGTACTTTCGTCTTTAAAATGAATGGGTAACGAAGTCTGTTTAGTTAATGTTCGGCAGGAATTTCTTATTGTTACACACTCCACAAGCCCAAACTATAAACGAAGTTAATTACATTTACAAACTGATTACATCAGCTACATTAGCACATGGTTCGTCTACGCTCTTCCTCAAGGTATAGATATACTCGCGTCACCCACCACTCACACGCCTGACACGCACCTACATTACGGACCTTATTTATCTCTACTGGGATTGAATTTTAACTGTAATTCCTATTAAGACCTCAACTTCGATAAAATACATTTGTTTTCGTCCCAGCTGTGTTTAGAGGATATTCTTTTCTGACTCGGCAACCCACCGCCCTTGAAATGCCTAATAAACCTTTTCTATATGTATTGATATATGACTCTTCACAGGTACATCTGTTTATCGAGTTGGATTGCAAAAGGCCTTTGATCTGTTGAAAGCTTCTGCTGTTGGTGAAACTGACAAAACTAAGAGGAGAATTATTTTATTTCTCACGGATGGTGATCCAACAGATGATAGAGGTTTGATCTTCAAAACAATAAGAGACAGAAACTTGGAGCTGAACAACTCAGTCATAATTTTTACGTTTGGAATTGGCACGCCTAACCCTGAAATCCTCACAGACATTGCCAATCAAAATACAACAAAGTATGGCTATTCGCGAAATGTGTCCGTCGGAGATATAACGGTAAAGTACATGTAGACCAGTTATTTACATTTCAGATTTGCAAAGGCAATTCGCTTACGGAAGGTACTGAGCTTCTTTGTCAAATCGCAGACGCAGTGTGTATAATATAACGACATTCTTCGGTTTTCCGCGGCTACGAGATTTTAAGAAATGCTTAGCATTCACCACGTTACAAACGAGAAGAAAACCAGGCCGATTTACTTGTGCAAAGATTTGTGGGATTGCTACCAGCAACAGGGAAAAAAAGGCCATTCTCGAGTCCCCCCTGGCCTCAGTATCAAAACGAGGTTAAGTGCTCAGCCTTTGATATGGAAATAATTTTTCATTCTCAAGCAAATAAAACTCATTTTCACAAGAAAGGTTGTGCACTTGGCCTTATTTTGAAAGTGAGGGTTTTTGAAACTCGGAAGTGGCCTATTGGCTCATCGTGTCCTTATTAACGATCCCAGAAACAATTGCGCGCAGGGCTCATTTTAGCTCATGTTTCCTTCTCATTTCTAAAGTGGCAAATAACATGCATGAACAGCAATGAAAATACTTTTGTGAAATTAGAGCATAAGGGATCCTACATTTTAAAGAAAATCACTTTCTACCATGGGGCGACAGAAACCTGTCGTCATAAGCCTAGCGTCTTATCTAGGAAGTAAGAGGCTTCTCGTCAAGGGTTGAAGGCGGTAAAGAGCTTAAAAGCATAGTTTATTTTTGCACCAGTTACATTCGTGATTGTGCTTCTCAAGATGGTTCAGTTGAATATATAGCTTTACGTTTGATTTCAATTAAGCTTTCCTGAAAAAGTTTTCTAATACTTAATTAGTTGCCGTTGTGGTGTGGAGGATTCTAAGTCTATAAAGGCCTGTTTACTTGGACGTGAGGGACGGCGGGTAGGTGAGGTAACCCACTTAGGTGGGGTAACCCGCCTGTCATGTAATCTCTCATTTCATTTTGATCACGTTTGCATGATAGGTGGGGTGACCCACCACATGTTACCTCACCTCTCTGGGGTCCTCCACCTCCATGTAAATAGGCCCTTATTGAAAGCTTTTTTCTCCGCTTTTCCTTATTAGCATGGACAGTACACAGCAGTCACGGAAGATATTAACTTGCTGCCAACTAAGATGGTATCGTACTATAACTTTCTTCCTCGAGCGCGGCTGGATCAACCAATAGTGTCTGTACCGTATATTGATGCATTTGGAACAGGTATTGTTTGTCTGGTAAATCACCTCGCCGTTGCCGTAGCAACGTTTCTAAGATGGCCTTTCCGAGGTTAAAGGATGTTTCGTAGGACCATATGACGTCATTGCGAAATTCAAGTTCCGCGAATCAAATCCTCGCCGAATTTAAACACGGGAAGTGTTATACCCATATAGAAGATCCAAATCACAAAATTTCAAGAGGATTAACATTTAATAACAAAAACAAAAGGATACGTAATCGACAAATACTCAAAGTGATAACTTAGTTTACTGCTAAGTTCCATTTTGTATCTTTTCTGTGTAAAGCAACGTATGGAGTATAGACTAGCTATTAAATTTATCTTTTAAGCTATTAACAGAGCTAGATTCGATCGTACAAATCGTTCAGAATATCGTTTGTGCAGTCATCAAAATTGCAATTAATTGGTTCCTTGTAGTTCTCATTAAAAAGGTTCTTGTAACGTTCCAACACTAAAACGTTTTTCAGGTCGAGTCTAGATCAATGGAAACATAGTCAATAACGTGAAATAGTGATGAATCCTATCGGAGTCCTTTGGTATATGCTTTGTTTTGTTAGCTTTTTTTTAACTTGACAGGTGCACAACTTTCAATTGGTTTCATTTTTGTTCTTATTGACCAATAAAAACTTTGCACTAATTTATTCAGTTACAATTTATGAACAAAAAAAAAAAGATTGTGTGCAGTCAGGAAGTTGCATGAAGGAACTTGAATTGCGAAATTTGATGTCCTTTTCTCATATTTCCGTATTCAAGAAAACGCGAAGATATAAAACCCAGCAAAATAAAGTCTCGCCAAAATCGCGAAGTTAAGTACCTGTGAAATTAACTGTACCGATAATATACTTGGTGACGGGGGACAGGTAATAATGTGTGGTCGAAGAATGAAAGAGCTAGAGGAACATTTTGTTTTTCTCTCGTCAGGTCTTTTGATGTCGATCACTCTTCCATGCTACGATGAAACAGGAAACTTCATTGGCGTAGCAGGGACGGATATCAACCTGGAGGACCTTCTATCTGACATCACATTCTTTAATCAGGACCAGACAACCTACGCTTTTATGATCGCTAAAACAGGACGGACCTTAATTCACCCTCTTCTTCCATCACCTTCTGAAGCGTATGATGACCCTTTTTTCATAGACATTAGGACTCTGGAAACTGATTCGAAGTTCCTTGAGGTGTTTGCTTCTATGACAAGGTATGCATTCACGTGCATTAGTTATAGCTAGTCGCTCTTATAGTTCTTTTCTTTTGTGTGCTGGTGTCAGTTGCCTCAACCCATCAACAAGAGAATGCTAGGTGAGCTGGGAAAGACGTGGATGTCGTTTCGTGACGTCAGGGACGTACTAATGTGTGTAAATCTGTATAAAATTCTAGGTGTGAAAACGACGTTCTTTACTTTTAGCGCCATTAATGGTCCTCTAGTCCTCGGTTTGCTGCCTCGCCTGGAGATTAGGGTGGGGTGGGCTGACATTTATGCTTTTAGTACGTGAATGTAGGTGAAATGTTGTCGATGATTCTTTATTTGTTATACACCCTTGTTGACTTGGGTGACTCTTCTGTTTTAAACAAACAGGGGTGAATCTGGATCAACAGCTTTCGTCGCCACACGATATTTACCTCGAGGCGGTGACATCAAAGACGGAGTGGTAGTAAAGCAGCTTAATTCATCTTATTTTTGGTCTCCTGTGGAAAAGACGGATTTTTCCATTGGTGTGGTTATACCTGTTGCCCATGAAAACGAGGTGTTAAACGCTTTACAAATTCCCGAAGGTAAGGCTGGTTTCAATTTGACAAGGTTAGCTCGTCATCGTTTTGCAATTCCCTTCTTGTCTCATGATGATAGTCCAGGTCTTAAAGGAACAGTATCCCGCTCCGTGAACACTTCGGCCAATCTATTTTTTCATTTTTCCGACAAAAACGGGAAAAGGACATGTTACTGATCCTTATCATATTTACATATTTTAAAGTACGGGAAAAAAATAGGAGAAAAGAAAATGGTCAGGAAAATCGATTATTTTTTCGTTTTGGCTAATTTTGAAGTTAAATTCAAAAATACAAAAAATACTGTAAACGGCTAAAAGCGATATTTTGCTATTTTTTGTTGTGCAATTGTTAGAAAATGAGAAAAATGAAATAATCTCCAATTCCTAACACTTTTTTCTCTTTTTTCGTTTTTCGCAAAAAATAGAAAAATGGAAAAATGAAAAAAATTATATTTATTCGCACCATTTTTTCATTTTTTCCATTGTGTTCAAGAAATGAAGAATAGAAAAATAGCATACCTATCGCCCAATTTTCCATAATTCCATTTTAATAAGCAAAATGAAAAAATGACAAGTGTGGCGTGCAATTTTCTATTTTTCCATTTTTTGTAATAAATAGAAAAACTTTAAAACGATACACCCTCTCAGACAGTTTTTCATTTTTTATTTTATCGACAAAAGGCGCAGAAAAGTGAGAAGTTATGAATATTTAACGGTGAAGAAAAGAAAAACCTAATTCGTATCCACTTTCGACTGACCAATTTGGTTAGAAGATTTGCACAGGGTTGACGGAGATGTGGGGTAATTTGGCGGTAGGGGCTTTAGTTTTCGAGATGTGGACGTAGTTCCATTCACTATTGAAGTTGATTAACTTTTCCCTGAAAGTTGTCGGACTGTGGATGAAAGCAGTGGAAAACCGTACCGTACCGGCCGTGGAAATCAAGAATATTAGAAAGGGGGCGAGGGAGGCGGAGGCGCAAAGGTTTTCATGCCAGCAACACCCAGCACAAAAAGAGCAGTTCGTGAGAGAGATTAAGGGGAAGGAGTTAAGAAGAAGGTCGTTGAACAGTCACATGCACAAAATAAATAAAGAGCACGCCAGTAAAGACGTCAGACCCTTTTAAATGAAATAGATGCTCAACAGTAGACTGCTTATAGCCTGCCGAAATAACGGATCTTGCCGTAGAACGGGTGTTTTAGGATTGCAAGAGTAAATATATTGAGTTAATATTATGGAGGAGAAACATCACGAGGCGCCTGGTATACACTCGCGGGAGAGAACATCTTAATGTTCTGGCCCCATACATTTGTTTAACGTTGGATAACGACGATCCACCGGATAAATCACTATCCAGCGGCCTGATAATTTTTTATGTATTTTAGGGAAACCAATTGCGTTATCCAATGGATAGTTATTTATCCAGGGGATAGTGTTCTCCACCTTTTTAGCAACTCAGCCCTGGAGAGACGAGAGCAAAGTTCGCATGGGACACCCATGCGACAAGTATGGGGAAACGTTCCACAGTTTGTATGCGATAGGAATACTTTATGGTCACGCAATGTTAGAACAGGTCACAGAGTGAGTCCTAAGTAATAAGGTAAAGGAATCAGCTAATCAAATCCAAAAGTGAATAAAACTACGTTCGCATTCCGAGAACTAAAGCACCCCCATCCGCCCTCCCCATCCCAAGTCTCTGCCGACCTGTGTAAATCATCTAACAAAATTAGTGAGTCGAAAGTGGATTAGGTTTACCTTTTCTTTATTGGTAAGTATTCATGATTTGTCATTTTTCTTCGCCATCTTTCATTAAAACAAAAGATGAAAAATTGTCCGCTTTTGTTTGTTTGTTTGTTCTTTTTTTCTATTTATGGAAATAATGGATAAATTATTCACAACACTTGTCATTTTTTCATATTTTTTGTCAAAATGGAATTATGGAAAGTCAGGCGACAGGTACGCGATTTTTCTATTTTTTCATTTTTTGAACATAATGGAAAAAATGAAAAAATGGTGCGAATAAATATATTTTTTTCATTTTTCCGTTTTCCTATTTTTGGGGGAAAATGGAAAAATAGAAAAATGAGTTAGGAATCGAAGATTATTTCATTTTTCTCGCTTTTCAAACAATAAGAATAGCAAATTATCGCTTTTAGCCGTTTACACTGTTTTTTGTATTTTTGAAGAGGACTTCAAAATTTGAAAAATGAAAAAACGATCAATTTTCCTGACCGTTTTTCTTTTTTCTGTACCTTAAAATATGTAAATATGACAAGGATAAGTAATATTTCCTTTTTCCGTTTTTGTTGGAAAAATGAAAAATTAGATTGGCCGAAGTGTGCACGGACCCTATCCCGTTACTGCGCATCCACCAAACTTTGATTTTTGGACAGGATGTCGCGAAATCAAAAGATGCGAGGAGAGTAAGAGAACCTTGAAAAATCCGTTTGCATCGCGCTTGGCCAAGTTCAATAATACACTAAAACTTCTCAGGATTACCGATCAATGATATATTGTTCCTGATTTGGGCAAAATCTGGATTTTTTGGCGTTACTTTTATTGCCTTTGGCCGGAGGACCAAACGATGGGAAGCGCTTTGATGCCGATTGAAGGCTTATTTCTTCTGCTACTTCCATACTAAAGCTCAGATAATTGTGAAAGGAATACGCAGAAATGAAACAGCAACAATAAAGACTGTAAGAAAGAAACCATTGAGACATTGATGTGACTGAGAAGATCTTGTGGAGGGGAGCTTCTTGAAGCAGAATGTTTTGCAACGACGCGTTAGTGAACTTCAGTAAATGAATCTCCCTACGGTCGACAAAATCAAACAAACAGGCGCTACATGTTCAGAAAAACTAGTTCCATGAAATCATAATATAATTTTTGACTAACCTTTGCGATGATTCATAGCGTTGAGATTGCATTTTTAGTTTTGTCTTTTCGACGTTTGAGGTTAAAACGCGAGCAAATCAGGCAGATATTACTGGACTTGGAACAACTGACCTCTGACACGAGTTTCACATTAGGTTTTTAAAGCGAGCGGAAAGAGATTTTCGGATTGCGAGGCGGCCCTGCTAGCGATAAAATCGCGATGAGTCTTCGTGTAGCGAGCCAAATTTTAAATAACACGAAAGATTTCTTCGAAAGTCTAAAATATTGCTTGAGAATATAAACAACAGATCTCCGTCGGCGGTGCGGTCCGGAGGGAAATCTTGTTGAGTCAATATGACAGTTCTATTGTCTTTTGAAGAAAAAAACAGATGACGCTCCCGCGTGCGCATAATCGGGACACTGTCCCTTTAAGGCCAAATGTCAGTTTGCCAGTTGTACTAGTTGTGAGACGCTTGGTGCTCATGGTTCATTATTATTGTTGCTGTTTTTGACTTCATTTATTTAGGTTATACATTCAACTATCATCGAATAGACTTGGATCCGCCACAAAATCGTTGCTTGCATTTTGGAAAGATTGTAACTAGCGGTGCGTATAATTTACATGTAATGTTATGTAACTTGTAAATAAGAATTACTTTGGACAGTTTTAATCTGTTTTAGTATATACACACTCAGTGATCTTGGTAATTCATGCAATCTAATCGGTTAGCTATCTCGGACTATGACGTTATATTAACCGCGCTAGGCGGTGAATATAAAGCAGAACACAAGTTTTGCCAAAGTTTCATAGTAAAATACACGAATATCCAAGTGCTGATGACTCTGAAGGCAAGAAAAGACCTCATGGTGTTTAAACAGCGTAATTTATTGTGAAGTGGTTTACTGTAGCTGACTTTTTGTACGCTCGAAGCTATGTTTACCACTACAGAGGAAAACGAGGTCGCTTTGCCATTGTTTTGTGATTTCGGGATTTTCTCGCAAGACCAATTTTGCCTATAAATAGAAGTTAATTTATGGAGAAAAGAGGAAGGCAATTTTTTTTCGAAAATTGTACGTGCCAGCAAGTTAACAAGGCAAAGAACATTGGAGATAAACAACGCTCACCTTGATCGTAGCCGCTGTTGATAGCATTTGCAAGAAGCAACAAAGAAAACTTCCTCATTTACGGTGACTTGACAGAAACAAATAAAGTTCTTCTTTTCTTCTCAGAATTGGGTAGTAATTTAAATTTTCGGCGTTTTCTTTTAAACCGTTGATGCTAAACCTTACAAGATGATGATGTAGCGGATGCTAAAATTGTAAATGCTCTTGGGTAGATGAGACGGCCTCTGACCAAATAGAATTTACAGATGACAAAGAATACTTGATAACATTTGAAAAGAAGAAACCTCGAGATGTTAGGTGGTGTTGCAGTTTATCCTCTTGATTAGAACGGAAATCTTTAAGAACTAGAGGGAGGAAAGATATTAAGACGAAATTTATTGCGTTCTAGGAAAACATTGCTCAGTGTTCCAGATATCGGAATATCAAGCCATTTTCGAATATAGCCATTCACTACAGAGACGAGATGTTCCGTTGTTCAGGTTTTGGATATATTAGCTATAGTGAAATGCCAGGACAGTTTAGATAGGACATAGCAGCTGTACAGAAGAAGTTTGTGTTTAGGATGCAGTAGCTTTATATCAGTGTCATTCATCAAGTCTTGTACAAGAGAGGGCAATTCATAATAATAATAATAATAATAATAATAACAATAATAAAAAAAAAGAAAAAACTATTCACTCAAAAACACTATTTACAATTCCTGTCGAATTAAATAGCACTTAATTTAGCTTAAAAAAAGTTAATGTAACTAAGAAAAATTTTTTCGAATTAAAAACATTTCATTTCAATAATAAAAAAAAAAACTGTCAACCTCTAAAATTCATGTAGTCAAAGAATGAACAGAATGATTGACTTGAGTGACTGACGCTCTAGGTGCATGGTTTGCGCCCGGCTGATGCACAAAAAGAACACCAGCAAAGACTGTGATAATAGAGACAATAATAATAATAATAATAATTTCCAAAATATGTACATAATTTACAGAAAATATTTGAAGTAAGAATTAAGCACTATATGACATTAAGAATTATATAAAACATAAAAAAATACAGTCACTTTGTCAATAACGATTTCCCAAATACATTCCTTGCAGCTCATATGCGATCAATAACTCTTGCAGTCGGTCCAGCGTTTTAAATTAAGTCATTACAACAGAGAATCATCCGTCTCTGATATTAAAAAGGAACAAGTTAAAAAACATTAAAATCTCGTGTTCCTAAGTTCCTAATGCTTTAAGAAGCTCTTAAAAAAAATTAAATGAAAAATAATAATTAATTCAGGCAGGCTCTTATATTTTCAAACTGTAGATCTGAGTCAACAAAGTCTAGCTGTCGTCTTCTGGATCTTGAGCCCTCAAGCATAGTATCGCAGAGCGTACGATAACGAAAGATACTTTAGCTCTTATCCAGGAAATTGCGTTTGAGTGACTTTCTCCCTTTTTATTTGTGATCAACTCCGCAAGCCTGCTGTAGTCTTTAACACACTCATCCGCCATTCCACCTGTGGTCGTGAAAACTAGGGGAGTGAATGTTCCCTGTTAGATCTCCATTACATTTTCCGTATACTGCCTCTTCTTCTCGTTCTCATGCTTCTTGTGGATCGGCTTAGAAGTCAAGTCTCTGTAAGAGTCTACATTAGGGTGACACACATGAACGTCGAAGAACGCAGGTCTCTGTCTCTCCCAAAAACCTCGAGCGTGAATATCCAGACGGGCATCGGGGACTTTGTTAGCGCCATGATTTAATGTATCCCCATTGATCTCCTGAATGACCGGCTCTACTTCCACATCATTACAGACCATCCTTAGCATCTCTGCTTCCAAGTCGAACAGTTCGTTATGGCGTTGGATAATGAATCCGCTGCGCTGACACACCGTTGCGTGATCCACGCTAAATTGAACACCGCATGGGCCGATCATGGGCGTGTCCATAATTTCCCAGTCGTACTGTAACTTGATTGCCTCTCTAAATTCCTCCGTATTCAGATTGTAATCCAGCTCCTTGAGAGGAATCACAGTCAGCCAATTTGATGATCCCTTCTCTGTAGCTAACTCAATAGCTCGCTTAGCTTTTGTCGGTAGGCAGTTCTTCACCTGCTCCAGCCTCTCACTTAGACAGACGTCTTTTTGTTTTCGCGTGCTCAGTTGCAGTGTTCAAATTTCTGAGGCATGTGGAGGCTGGTGCTCTTGCTCAACAATTCGTCCCACGAGCGGATTAGTAACTTTGATTGAAGCCTCGTATTCAGAAGATGAGGTAACTACAGGATCTGTAAATCCAAGGCCTCCCATGTGCACAAGGAGACCAAGGAGGTCGCGCTTTAAATTAGTGACTCTATGGTCAGTGACAGCTGGTTTGAGAACCTCATTAATCGCGTGCTCGAGTGGCTTGAGTAATTCTGCAATATCCAATGTCAATGTCCAATGGTGTCGCAGACCAAAAGTGAAGGCAGCATAGCTTGCTTGAGGCTATGATATGGTGAAATCTGCGAGTTTAGTAACTTCGTTGATCCATTCGTCTACTTTCTCCCCAACATATTCTTTAAAGAACGATCTAGATCCTAGAGGCGTGCCTAAGTGCTTGTGGCCCTCTATGGTGACGTTAATAGCAGTGTCTCTAAACACCTCCCTGGGAGCCTGTTCTCGTTCCGGTTTGATGATCAATCAACATTTCTTGGCATTAGGGAAGTAACCCAACGGAGGACCACTCTCTGATAGTTCATCCCACCATTTCCTCACGTCTTGCATGGAACCACTTCCGGTTGCGTCATCAGCAAACCAACAAGGTTTTGCTGCGCTTGAGACGTGCAGTCGCGTTATAAGTGGTTGAAGACTTATGGCGTATAGGCTCATGGACAGAGGGTCACCGTGTGTGGTACCCTCTGCTGACATTAGTTCTTCACCGCCGGTAAAAACACGCACAGGTTGTCTACAGGTGTTTATCACGTAGGTAGCCAGGGTCGGACACAGCACTCGGATATTATGTAGAGCGGCAGCTCTGTTCAGGGCGTTAAAGGCGTTTGAGGCATCGATTAACAGGGCAGCATCCGTTTCATCCGCCTCGAAGATGTTGCGCATTGCATGAATTGCAGCTTCACTTACACTTTTGTGCCCTGCACAAACTTGAAGGGAATCACTTGCGTCAATGACATCGGGCTTTGTCACGTGCATAACACACTTTCCCATTATCCTCCGCATAACTTCTCCGACACCGATCGGCCGAACAGCGCCCTCTCCTTTGTCCAGGGGGATCAGTCGATTCGCTAAAATTGCCTCAATACCAAGGGGATCGATAAATTCAGTGCACAAGCGTCGGGTCATTGTGGCTATTGCTGCACACAGGTCTGTTCCAGATTTCTTGAATGACTTTAATGCAAGAATTCGCCGGAACCCATTCGCATCAACGCCTGAGAACCCCTCGAACCTTTTGTTCGCAGAGCCGCATCCCGTACCATTTCCCATTTACCTGTTGGTAAATTGAGTCTGGGACATCTTCGACTGGTCCGAAAAGCAAAGAACCCAAACTGGTTTCCTGTGGACTTGGATGTTTCTCTCTGAGCTGTGCCATGACGTCATCACTTAGAGGCAGGATATCCCCCCAGCGTTTTCACTGAGATAACGCAAGGCCGAGTTGATTTGCCCTGACATAACAAGGTTTGTTAAGACTATTGCTGTGTTAGGTGGATCAACCCTCCGAGAGTTGCTGAGGCGCTTTTGAATCATCCTTCCTTCGCGCAGCAATTTGTCGATTTCACCGCCTTTTCACAGTATCAGTCGCTTAGCGAAACACTCTTGGCGAACCCTAGCCTTTGTAAGCCGACTGAAGAAGTACAATCGCTTTTTTAAGAGCAATGGACTGCATTTTTGATCCGTTGTTCCAAATTTTTATATGCTCTGTCATTTTATTAATAAATTCTCTTCCTACTTTCCATATGGGACGAGGAAAGTGTTTTTCCGCTATTTTGAGATCTCATTATATGCATTGTCAATGGTTGACAAGCTGACTGTTATAGTTCTTCCATCATCATGCTGGCCCCACAAAAAAGTACATGGTGCGTTAATTGCTTCATAATTCGGCAAACAACCCGGCGCGTCATTTAAAACCTTTTTCGAAGTTGAGTGATCGCATTCCTCTGGGCTTTGTATAGCAGACATATGCAAATCCAGAATCAACTGATTTGCATTTTGACTTGACTTGCCTACGTTGTTTTGGTCTTGACTGGATTCAGCTTTTTCGTCAGAGATAAAATTGTTATCGATGTTAGACGCAGAATGAGTTGAGTGTAAAACTGTCTGCCCCGTCGCGCTCGTCTCCATTAGAGCATCCTGATTCTTTTCTAGCCGTGAAGCTTGCACTCGCAGATTTTGGCTTTTAAGTCCAAGATTTCCGTATCCTTTTTCTTCCCATAACTCCTTCATTACCTCAATGTAACCCTTCCTCCTACCATTCCTATTAAACGGCGGATTTCTAGAGGTAACCAGCTCCTGTGCTTTCCGTTTGCATTCTAAAACATCTGTGTTCATTTGTTGCGTCCATTTCACTTTGGATTTCCTGGACATTGTTGAGTTGGCAGTAAATTTCGGTCGCAGTTTCAGTCATTAAATTATAAAAAGATTGCTTGACAAGCTCCAAGAATCCTAGACACTTTTCCGAATGAAATCTAGCGTTCTAAACATTGGCCTGCTTTCAATGACAGCGAACTTTATCGGAGCTTGTAAACCACATCGTCACTAGTCGTCGACCATGATGATGATCACGTATTGCGGTCGTACTTTCCAGCTGGCAATTTATTAATAATGATAGTAATAATTATAAACGGTGGCCCATGTGGTGAGTGAATGCGGTAAGTTGGCGCAGACAAAATATAAAGGAAGGCATGATAACGTGGCACGGTATATCCACTGGCAACTTCGTCGTAAATGTGGATTGAAAAGAGCTAATAGCTGGTATCAACAGAAGCCGGAGGGAGTGGTGGAAAGTGAAAACTTCAAGATACTGTGGGATTTCACACAGTGTGATCGGAAAATTGAGGCAAGAAGACCAGGCATTCTCTTTATTGATAAGAAGGAGAGAGAGGTTGTTATAATTGATGTTGCCATTGTAGGTGATGACAGGGCGAAAGATAAGGAACTTGCAAAGTTAGAGAAATACCAACTATTGTAAGACGAAATTGCAAAAGTCTGACGCATGCGGAAAGTCATTGTAGTGCCTGTTGTTGTTGGAGCCCTTTGAGCCGTATCAGTCAACTTTAAGTAGTAGTAGGAGCACTTTAAGTAGTAGGAGTAAATGAAGCGAATCGGCGAGAACGTGAGGTTGGAAGTTATCCAGAAAACAGCATTGTTGGGGACAGCAAAGATACTAAGGAAAGTACTGTCGCTGTAAGAAGAAGGAAAAGAGAGATCTGAGACTCGTGGTGACTTGTTGTAACCCGCTCCCGAGGACTATAAACCAGGCCCAACATCCTACCTGATCTACAAGGAATGGACATAATAATGATAATAATAATAATAATAATAATAATAATAATAATAATAATAGTGATGATAATCATCACCATAATCATAATCATCATCATCATCATCATCATCATAATAACAATAACTGAGCTAATTCTCGCGCGCTGATTGGTCGAGAGGTATGGTCAGTCGATAGGAATACCGACTTTGGAAACAACGTGATGGTGGCGCAATTTCTTTCTTGCGTGCGAGATTTTCAGAGACACTTCAACGGAAATGGACGTTAAAACCTGCCAATTTAAAGAAACAAATCAATAATTTTTATGTTCTGTGCTCTTATCGACCATAGGAATGAAGTCAAAAAGTTCAAAAAGACTGTGCAGTGAAAACAATTAGCCTGCGGTGTCGATTTGCAATTGTTTTTGTTTTTACGTTCATTTTGTTCACGCAGGTACAACCGTTGTTAAATTTGCCCCACTGGCATTTTTGGACCCTTACAGTTACATTGGCATGAACGAAACCACAGTTGACGTGAGAAAGCTGCACGATTTTATGATGGGAAAAACTACTACGAGTGACTATCAAAAGTTGAGACCAGGCATCCGTGACACCGTCATCGCTACCTGGAAGGCGGAAAAACTGTGGCTACGTGATAAAACTCAGCTTACTCAATACTTGGTTTAGCGATACATTGGAACAGCCAATGGAGTTTTTAGAGCGACTCCAGGTGCCGTGGAGCAAAAAAGCTACGACCCCAGGCATAGGCCATGGTAAGTATGTGTTTGATATGAGATACGTTTACTCATAAGTGGATAATGTGCACTGTCGATAGATTGGCAATTTAGCGCGGTAAATCTGAACCAACTCACATTTCTCCTTATAGCCTGAGAATAAAATGGGTGAAAGACTGGTTTCAGCTCTGTACATCTACCAGCAGTCTATAGCCCGAGTTGAATACCGCACTTTTTTTAACATTCGGCTACCGATGTGCAGGCAGCATTTAAGTACAAAATAGGTCATTGAAACAACGAAAAAAGAACACAACAAAGAAAAAGGAACACCGTTGAACGTCCGTTAGGGGGTCACCTGTGAAGCGAAGACCTACTATTAAGCGGCCAGTCATGGAAAAGAATCGTAAATGAAACCTCTATTAAGCGATAGCCTCTAACAAGCGGCCACAGCCAGCTTTTAGCCATCCCGACGAGAACTCTCCTATTGTTGTTACCTCTATTAAGCGGCATCAAGCGCCTGATACACTTAATGTAATTTGGCTTTGTTGTACAATTAACACGTACGATGAAGAAAAATACAGCCCTAAATAAAAGGTGGCGACTGGTTGTGGACCAGCAGTGCCACTCCCGTCGCGTGTTTTCTTCAAAGTAAAGTCATATTTCTTCTAGAGATAATGCTACTTTAAGACGAACTTCTATACGCCACTTCCACATTTCCCATAATGCACCTTATTTGCCATCCAAACTTTTGCATAAGCATTGTTTTTAATTTCTCTTGGGACGGCTGTAATACCAAGGAGAAATGAAAAACAAAAGGTTATGCAAAATGTTAGGGGCAAATAAGGTGCATTATGGGAAATGTGGAAGTGGCGTATTAAGCAGGCAGCCTTTATTAAGCGGCCACTTGCCGGTATCCAAGGGTGGCGGCTGAATGGATCGGATGTTCAACTGTAGTAGGAGTCCTCAAGACAGGATATTCGTGGCTAGTGACCCAACCAGATTTCTTAACGTATAAGTGGTAGAGAGGATTTGCGAGACACGTATTTCCATTATGATAGCTATTTATTCATCTTCTTTTCCAGGTATTACGCTGCAGTAAGTCACTCAGGTTATCTTACTCTAACAACTCCGTATCTGGATATGGGAGGAGCCGGGGAGGTTATTACCGCTGCTCGTTCTTTGTATCGCGGAGAGTCGAATGATAATGTTCTTGGAGTAATGGGCGCTGATTTTCCTTTGAGACACTTTTACAGGTATTGTTACATATAAGTGTGGAATACTTAGTTGAAAAAAATATTTTAATGGGGGTAGTTATTGGGTACAAACTTTGATATGTATTACAATTTTTCATGTCAGTGGAATAGTGTTAATGGGTACCGAATTATCCGGGTTTTTTTGGTTGATCCAGTGGCCTCCGTCGTCATTGATATGCATGATTTGCGCATCAAGAATCATTGAACTGGAACTAGGACAGTGACAGCGGCAGAAAATAGAACTTGCATAATTACGTTACGGCTCGGTGATTTTAAGATCGCACAATGTTGATCTTCGTTCACATAATGATAAGAAAATAAGGTCTTCATTATTCATTCAAATTTGTTCTCCTCTTCCGTATAATTAAGCTTAAATCCCCAGGCAGATTTTTCGTAATCAGGAAGCGTCGACAACATTTGAAACATTTTTGCCAAAGTCAGTACAACTGACGTCCTTTGTATTAGTATCGACACAATCGACACGATCGCGGAGGGAGCGGTAGCTCAGCTTTTTTGACAGAGGAAGAGAAAATGGTGAAAAATTTCTTACATTTAGTGAACATGTACAAATGAAGCGTTAAAATCACCGGTTAAGTCACTTATACAAATGGTTGAAGTGATACACTGTAAGAGTAAATTGTTTTTAAGAAGACTACGCAATTACCCGGAAGGACTCGAACCCAGACCTCTTATCTGCTTCTGAATTCCAAAGAATAAACTATTTTAATAGTAGCGGTAGGCGTATTATGGCTTAAAAGCCATTACGCCTACCGCTTATTAAATGCGTTTCAATTACATCTTTCAGGTTACTTACAAACGTTTACGACAAGTGTGCAGAATCACAGCAATACTCATGTTTCATTATGGACAACTCTGGATTCCTCGTAATGCACCCGGATTTCATGTTACCCTCAACTGAAGCTAACGAAGTGGAGCACGTTCATATCACCCTAAAGGAAAAGAACATTGCAATTGATTTAATTAACCATGGCTATTTGATAAAAAGAACGTGTCGAAATGTGGAAAGTATAAGAGAACAAAGCTTTTATGAAATTAATTTGCCTCCGGAGGGATTCAGTACATTACAATCAAGCAAGGGCTGCAAATATGAGCTTAGTAAAATACCTGGAACAAACGTCTACTTAGGTCAGACAAATGATATGATCTTAGTAATGCACAATACTTAAGGGCAAATTTCATTTAATTTGCTCGCTATGGGAATAAATAGCACCTACTTGTACCAGAAATGAGGAGGAGGGGTGATTTCACGCGCGCGATTCTACTCGTGCGAAGCTCGATCCGTATTTTTATGTAAGATATGCATGCCAAATATGCACCTCATTGTCTCATTCATAAATTGACTTACCTCCTCCAACTAAAAGTTAGGGATACTTTAGGAAATGTTAAAAGAAAGATGGTTGGGTACGTGGATTCGCCCAGACTCGTTTTACACGGATTCATTTTGTTGGTCCATCTTCTAACAAAACAGTACTGGATGCAAGTTATATAGATCCCTTTAATTTCTTGTAGAAGTATACTGGATTAGGTTTTGAAGATTTAAAACTTTTTGGCCTATTCAAACGGATCCAATAACAACATCTAATACATGGTAAATGTTTCAACGGGCCTTCACTGTAATTTTCAGGGAGTTATAATAACTCCTCTAGTGGGGCTAATTTAACTCCTTACAGTGGAGTTATTTTTCGTGGAGTTATTTTAACTCCAAAAAGGAGTTTAAAGAACTCTTTTTCAGGAGTAAAAGTGACCCNGGAGTTTAAAGAACTCTTTTTCAGGAGTAAAAGTGACCCCAGATATTGAGGAGTTAAAATAACCCCAAAAAAGGAGTTATCCTGTACCTAAAATTTTTACTCCACTTTCAGAGTTAAATTAACTCCAAAAGAGTAAAAACAACCCATGTAAGGAGTACAAGTAACCCCATTTCGGAGTAATTTTAACTCCAGACTGGGAGTAAAAAGAACTCTTTTTCAGGAGTAAAAATGACCCCAAATTCGGAGTTAAATCAGGAGTTAAAATAACCCCCAAAAAGGGGTTATCCTGTACCTAAAATTTTTACTCCATTTTTGGAGTTATAATAAGTCCCTAAAAATTACGGTGTTGATAGGGCTGTGTCATGCTTGCTGAGATCCACATTTTTTGTCAAAGCAGAGTTGAAATTATACCTTTGAGTATTTTTAGTCATTTTTTCTCATAGATGAATTTTTCTCTATCAAAACAAAGATCCCTTTCCATTTTGGCCTTTGAAAGATATAGATATGCATTTACATAGTTGAAGTATCAGTGGTAGAGTGTTTAAAAACACTGAACGATTATCTAATAATTTTTCTTTGATTTCGTGGTGCTTTTTGGGGCTTTTAAGTGACCAAAAATCGTGACATAGCTTCCTTTATCTGTAGTCAATTAGCGTCAACATTGGCTTCCTTCTCTCCACTGCAGGTGTTGTCGCGCGAGATTCCCTCTGTGCTTCATCGTCCTGCTCGTGCTCTTCAGATAACGAATGCTCCAGATTGGCTGGTTTGAAGTGTGAATGTCCCTGTACCTCCACTCTGGAATTTTTTTATTGTCGAAGTCATTTTCCAAACAGCAGGTTAGTCAACAGAACCCAAAGTCCTTTTCTGTCAAGTGAGGATGAACACCGGTTGGCCAGATGGCAGCTAACTGCGCTTTTTAATTACATGAAACGAAATGCACCAATTATCGAAAGTCGTGAAGAAAATGTACCGTTTTTTTTTCGAATAAGCGCCCAACCTCGAATTAGCACCCACCTCGAATAAGCGCCCATCCTAAAGGCCCAAAAAGTTAATAAGCGCCCAGCCTCGAATAAGCGCCCACCCCCTCCTCCTCCCAATCAAACTCAAATAAGCGCTCACCCCCACCCCACCCACTTGAGTGAATAAATTCTAATAAGAGACTTCCCCGAGGACGGAGTTTTCTTCAGAGNAGCGCCCACCCCCTCCTCCTCCCAATCAAACTCAAATAAGCGCTCACCCCCACCCCACCCACTTGAGTGAATAAATTCTAATAAGAGACTTCCCCGAGGACGGAGTTTTCTTCAGAGTATTTTACAGAAACGTTGCTTTGTTACTTCTTCGCGTTTTGTTATTAGCATTTATTGTTTTGTTGCAAAATAAACATACTTCACTTGCTTAAAATGGTGAAAATTTAATAAGCGCCCAGCCTCGAGTAAGCGCCCACCTCTAATAAGCGCCCACTCTCAAGGTCCAAAAATTTAATAAGCGCCCAGGGCGGTTTATCGAATAAATACGGTATGTTTCCTGAATGGTCTATTGCATGTAAAAGGGCGATTCAGACGGAAATGAAAACCGTAAATGTTAGCTTTATTTTACTTGCGGCGCGGTTGCAGTAAAAAAAATATATACTTCACTAAACCCAATCATCATCATCATCGTCGTCGTCTTCTTCATCATCGCCGCCATGTTAATCTTCATCATCATTATCGTCGCAGTCGTCACCCCCATCGTTATGATGATGATTATCATAATCATCATCATTAACTTCATCGTCATCATAATCATCGCTATCATAACCATTTAGAAACATAGTGCCAGATCACTGTTTGTAGACGAAACTAACAGATTTGTACGATATGAACCCTTAGTCGAGACAATAGTCTACAGTTTAATAATAATACATTACCACCAACCTTAACAGTAGGGTTTAAAAAAATTACTTACCTTACGTTATCTGCTCTTATAAATGAATACTGGCGGCAGTTTCTTACAAAAGTTTTAGGCAAATTGGCTATAACTAGCTGCAATATACGATGAAAATTTCACTTGGAAAGAAACAGAAGAGGCTATCAAAATGCAGCAAACTCAAAGAATTAAGGTTAAGCATAGAATGATTTATGTCGGAACAAAGCAAGAATATCCCATATTCGGGTAGATATAAGTTGTCGTATCTGCAGTTTAATCATTGCTGTTTGTAAGAAACTATTTACAAATTTGTTTCTTTTACTTTGTTTTATAGCCTTCCTTTATGCCCAACATTTGCACCTTCAGGACAACCCAGCAATAATCCTTTAAATTCCAAAACGATTTGTCTTAACAAGTGCTTTGATCGCCATTGTGAGAAGAGAAACAGTTCCCATTGGTGTGATGGGATAGTTAGTTGTTATTGGTGCCAGAAGGACAGGAGCGGCAGACAACTGAAAAAACCTTACTGCGCAAGCTCTGAACGCTGCTTCAGAGGGATAGAGTTTGCAACTTATGAACGTAAGAGCATTTGCTTAATAGACCTTTCATATCCTTACTTAATTAGATCTTTACTAAAAAGATCTTAAATAAATCTATACATCTAGACATTGACCAAATTTGGAGACGAATAAATCTCACATGCCTCTCTTCTTTTGTTGGGTACATTAGTTCCGCCCTTCTGGCTTTTTCAGTGTATAGTGCAAAGTATCACTTTAGTGTACCCAATAAAAAGCGAGACTAGTGAGAAGTTTGAAGTTGACTTTTTTTTCGTTCAACGTGGAAGAAGCAAGTCTGATGCATTCGCCTTTACACTTTTTCAGTTGATAATGAAAAATGCTTCAAAAGTACTGTAGTGACTGGTACGAAGAACAAGGGAGGATTATCAGCTGCGGCTATTGCTGGAATTGCCCTAGGATGTGCCATTCCTATTCTAGCGCTGGTGATCGTCTTATTAATTTTGGTAAGCCAGATTATTATTCCATTAAAGGGTTGATGTTAGATACCTTTAAATTCTAAGACGAGGACGACCACGTGGAGGAGATTTTCTCAATACTTGCACGCGTGTGAACCAGTATCATTTTGGCGGGCAAACGTGATAGCAATCGACATTATACTACATGTTAATTTATAAATTGTTTTTAATTAGTTTTTTTCCGGAAAAATTATAAATTATAATTTAAAAGGTTGAGTGACTTGGAGATGATCGCAAATGTACGTAAAAATTTCAGGAGTGGAGGGTAGACTTTTGTACCTTCAGAGAACAGTTACAGATAATATTCATTTGACACTTTCATTTCTATTATTCTTAATTGAAAAGCTTACAAGACGCTATGGGCACCCCGCGGATCCACCTGTAGAGAACGACAACAGTATACCCATGCAGGCGACTGAATCCAGTCCAAGAATTTCTCATGTCCCTGATGTCCTGCCTTTGTCTACTTCTAACCATGCTTACGAAGATATAGAACCACAAGAAGGAGGACAGACTGCCACGAGTCAGTTGCAACGTCAGAATGCTGTTGATATGCCCGCCACCCAGCAACCATTTCATCACCATCCTCGACTGAGAAGTTTAACTGTAACTGACACTAGCAAGCCACCCCCTGTTCCCAGCACAAGAAGGCCATCCCAGTGGGATACCACCGTGCCAAACACGCGTCGGTTCCGAAGTCTGTCTGAAGACAGTCCAATGCAAGTCACTGGCTTCACCAATACAAGGCCACTGGTTTTAAATTTAGGAAGAGATGATCCACCAGCTCTTGTTCCTAGAGTAAGGCGGCCTTCAAATGGCAGTTTGTCAGAGAGCAGGTCTGATTTCCCCTCCATGATTCCTATGTCTGGCCAAGAAAAAGATTTATACAGCAATATAACACCCATTTCTGAAACAAGTGAGGACTTTATAACAGAAAACAATGAGGATGACACCGATGTTGATGGGTACATGAAATGTGTCCGTTCCAGGGATGGTTCTCAAACTGTAGTTCAAGTGTAGTTCTTAATGTGCCTTTATTCCTGCTTTTAGGTTTCGCAAAAAGCCGTAGATGGTCCCTTTCTATGAAGCTACAGTTGTTTTTTCTGAACAAGTAACAAACTTCAGCGTCAAGGTCTTAATAGCTTGGCGATTTTAGTGGTGGCTGCAATGCACTGCTTTCATATGGAGCGTGGTTGCTGAACTAAATTTAACTCCTTCAAACAATGCATTTCAGGTCAGCTGATCAGTATGGCAGGTCAGGTGAAAACATAAAATCCCTAACACATTTTCCAAGCGTATCGTTGTTAACACTGAATAAGCACTATATATCGCCAAGGTGTTGCTGAAAGAGACGGCTTTTAAAATATTTTTACTTCTTTCATAGTCAGTAGGCATGAAAGACAAAAACAATCGCAGAAACAAAAGAACAGCCAAATGGTTTTGAGCCAGTAATTTCATATGATTGGCTTTGTAGTAGGCTTGTTTAAAGAGTTGAGAAGTCCCAGGTACTATTAACAGAAGTCACTTTAAAAATATCATACAACGTATTTATAACCCTTCACTATTCAAACTTTGGTCGAACAACACTACTATTCAATACCGTAGATGTTCTCGCGTCTTCTCTAGACCCCAGGGCCCTCGCTTTTCTCCTAAGACCCCTTACTCTGATCTAAGTCCAGCTGACTAGCTGGAGACGCGATTTTTACACACTTCGGCCTAAGCCAAACGTCAAACTTTTCATGAGACGAACCAAACTTAGTTAGTTAAGTCATGAAAAGTTCGACGTCTGGCTCAGTTAAGTTCGTCTGAATTAGTTTGGATCGTCCAGCACTTCCTATCCGTCTGCATCGGACGGATAGAACGTCTGAAGATCGTCTTCGGGCCAAACCTCAATCTTCGCATGCGACGAACTAAACTAATAAACTAAAATTTTTATCATAATATACATTTAGTCTCGTTTTAGAGAAAATTTATCACTGATCTTATTCAGTTGATTGGTTCAACGAGTCCTAAGTTCCACTTCTGACCCACAGACGATCTTATCTTAACTTAGGTAGACCTAAATTAGAGTTTGGTTCGTCTCATGAAAAGTTGGACGTCCACGATACTTGATGACCAGGTAGCTAGCTCCTGGATACCTATCCGTTCGCAACTGATTTCAGCTTTCTTTGCTGATTTTGCTTTTCCTGCCCAGGATGAATATTCTTAAGTCACTGACGATTTTAGCCTGAAAATATCCTTGTTTTATTCTCAAATTATAGCTTGTAAATTTTTGGTTTTAGAATGTACTGGGATATAAACTGCAACCGATGTAGGTTTCCTAGTTTTGATGACTAGTTTTGTCTTTTAGAGTAAGGGATAATTTTATAAATTTCGCAAATTTCGCCTCTATATTCTTATAGGATATCTTCTAAAAGCGGAGCTCCGCGCGCGCGTGGGCGGAGCCCCATGGCTAAGTAAATCTACACATCCCAGAAAATTTGGTAATCACGTGACCGTAACCCGACGGCCGACCGCCGACCGTCCGTCCGCACCACAGGAAAACCAATGTTTACTCTCTCTCTTTGGGAGCCCAAGAGAAAACTAATTGCATATCAGTGTTGTGATCAATTGACAGCTGTCAAAACAGGGCATCAGCTGACCAGTATCACCTGACCGTACCGCGGGCTCAAGGGTCGACCTATCGAGGTCGAGTATTTTTTGAAGTTATCCGCTGACAAATTACCAGTTTCAAATGATCGCAGGCTCAAGTTTATTTTTTCCAATCATTCATATCAAATATGTTGTGTTTATGTCACTATGGCCCCGCAATATTAGGATTTTGATTTCAAACTGACCTCGGACGCGAAAATTCAGCCAGTTTTTTTAAAAGCACAGGCGGGGAAGACCTTATATTACCATGGTCAGGCGTTGGTCACGCATCTACGTCCAATTTTTATACTCCGATTGGTCAAAATTTAACAGGTGAGTTCATGCGGAAAAATTATGCAGCATCTTGAAAGTTGTTAACTTTGACAGCTGAAGCTGACAGAGTTTTGTGTCAACTTGTGATGTTTTTTTAAGTGTGTTTTTCCTCTGGATGTACAAAATGAAATACAGCTGCTATCAAGAGTCTTCTGTTATTCATGGCTGGTTTGTTTACTGGGTTTTTGGTTGAGAAATGCGTCGCTTGTCAAAAATCGGTAATTCGATTTCAGAGGGCATCGTTTTCGTTTTTCACCTTGCTTAATGCGTAAGAGGGTTTAAAAGTCTCAAGCAATTGTGGCCTTCCTTGATAGCTTTCAGGAACTGAATCTCGAATGGTAAGCCTGAGTAATTATTGTATTTGATGTTTGTTCTTGTTATATCTTATTTCATGAAGTCTTGCACAGTTCACGCTGACAGTTTATGCGGCAAGTTTATGCACGTTTGTAGGATTTGAGTCAATGATCTGACCTAGTATTAGGTTGGATAAAAGTTTACAGAACTTTAAAAAGCCTTTAGATATATTTGCGCACCTCAAATAGAAAGAAAACGTTCCGAAGAATATTTAGTTATAAATTTGGCCGTAGAAAGAAAACTTTGAGCGATTTTCTTGCTTCGAGGAGTTCACCTTCGAAAACAGTAAACACCGCGCCGGGAAGCCGGCTTAAGCTGTACGCTTATATTAAAGACTCAGGATTTTTAGAGACACTTTAATACTTGTCTTCGTGAATGAAAATTGTTGTCACTGTAAATGTTTCACCGAATTATATTCCTGTTTTTGGTTGTTAGTAGTCTCTCTTGCAATTTTAATCGCTTGTTCGTGCCGTTTGTTTTCATCGTTCATGAACATCGCTTGCAGGAGTACTCAAAAATGTCGCGCATATCAAACGCTTTATAAGATTACACATCGGTATAACTGAAACCATTAAATAACAAAAAATAATAATAATAAATTCGCTATTATGTTGAAGCGTAACTCTATTAAAGTTCATTCAAACACTCGACCACAAAGAGAGCTCGCACTATAGAAATGAGAACCAGCTGGCCGTATGGGTGATTTTGGGAATTTTTGAACGGTTTCGCTTAAAGCCCACGATTGATCGTCCTGAATATTAACTGAGTGCAATTTGTCTTGAAAAATTGTGAAATACCGCATTCTGTCCGAGGTCTGTATGATAAATAGTACTGTTTCACCTCAAATGTGATGTATAAAAAGTATAAAAGGTAGGATTAAACACCCCCAGATTTGTTGGCAAGAATTTATAAAGTAAACCTGTCGAACGCAAAAAAATTCGGCGTGATTTGTTTTCCAAGAATTTGTTTTCGAGGCCTAATCTACTGTGATCTTGAATGTGATCGAAGATGTTTGCTATTTTTTGGGTGTACATATAAGGTTATCAATTCGATGTAAGATGTTTCACTCTAAAAAAACTTAGCCTTTCCCTCAAAAGTCACATGAATGTGCCCTTAAGTTAACTGATTTGTGGATTAAAAGTTTATTGTTTGATTTAAATTATACATTTATTAATTGGAGCTTCGCTTTTAGCCCTGGCTAAATCTATATATTAAAGAGTGTCATGAGCACACGTTACGATCATCCCGATTGGTTAGCTAGTATCAGGTCTAATCCTTTATTATGTGAAACCTATAAAAAAAATTATCCTTTGTAGCGATCATGATCCCGATGCTAACTTCTTCTCGAATTAGTTGACTGCCAATTTTATACCGAAGTATTCTTAAATGAGATGTTGCGCTAGAAAAATACATTAGAAGCCAATAATTCTTTATTGCGTTTACATTTTAATATTCGTAGCCTTCACCGTAATTGAGAGTTGAGGTTCTCTTTTATTAATATAACTGAGACCTGGCTTCGAGACTCCTCGGATCATACCGATATTTTAGGCTATAAATTTGTGCACCATCCACTTAAACATAGGACAGGTGGAGGTGTAGGTCTACTTTTAGGGGACAATTTTGATTTTAAATGTCGACCTGACTTAGTTTTCTCTTGCACTGAATGTGCTGAGTCTTTGTTTGTTGAATTCAATAGGCCGAAAGAGAAAAATAAAGCTGTAGGTGTGGTTTACAGGCCACCAATCAAAATTTGCAGGATTTTATGAATAGCCTGGATTCGCTGCTCGTAAGTATCTCCAGCGAAAACAAGATTTGCTATGTTTTAGGTGACTGAAGTCTAGACTTAGGGTGCCTTCCTTTAAGATGATCCCGATCAGGCTCAGTGATCCGAGAAGAAATCACTCGAATCATGGTAGATCAAATGAACCGATGAATCCATTCTGGACAAGGATTCATCGGTTCATTTGATCTACCATGATCTGAGTAATCTCGGATCATTGATTCTGATCCAGATCATCCCAAAGCAACGCACTCATATGAACCACCATTGTCAAGAAACAACTGGAGAATTTTTAGAAATTATGTATTCAAGAATGTTTAGTCCACTGGTCACATGTCCAACAAGGATAAGTTCTAACACGATTACGCTCTGATTGATGATATTATTTTTACGAATAATATAAACAACCTCTCCGTTAGCGGGCTAATGTTGTGTGATACATCTGACCATTCTCCGATTTTCACATTGCTTCTTGATCAAAACAAGAATTATACTTGACTTTAATTTGTTCTTGTGACAAAAGTGCAAATAATGTCGCTAATAAAGTTTAAAGATAAGCTTCCAAACGTTAATTGGGTTGAGTTGTCTGAATATAAGGACCTTGTTTGCTCTTATCGGTGTTCCTTGATAAATTAATTAGTTTCGCTTGCGTAAGTAGCAAGACTCATCTGCAAGCCGGTTTTTTTCGTATTTAGTACACAAATTGGAGTCATGGTTTCAGGGGTTCCTAGCGGAGACCGTGGAAACTGGAAATAACAATCATTGCGTGAACTAAGCCACGCATGTTTTGCGAAGAAAGCTTAAGAAAGATTTAAAGCTTTTCCGGAACGGGTCGGTCCACGAAGTCTATCGCTTGAAAGCGTTGATTACTTTGGAACAAGTGAACACTTCTGTTGTGAAAAAGTAAAAAAAAAAACGTTTA